TTCCATTCTTCTTCCTCCAGGAGGGCCAACCAGAAGCCTTGTGTGAGGGTCTGTGGCTCCAACTTCTCTACACCTGCCCTGATCTCCGTCTTCAGGCTAGAAACAAAACATCCAACCAAATAATCCTCGGGAAGCCTCTTAACCCGACTTGACAGCCGTTGGAACTCTTCCATGTAGTCCTACACCGTTGTTCCCTGGTTTAGTTTGGAGAGTTGTTCGGCGTAGTTGTCTCCCTTGGGGCCCCACAAACCTAGTTTCTATCACCGTGACGAGCTGCTGGCTACTATCACCCAGTGCGTGCTCCTCAGGTATCTCTTGTATCTTCAGATATTGCCCTACCAACGCTAACCACCCCTCCAAGCCGATACCGTTGAACTTGGGTAGATCTACCTTCCAGAACTTGGGTGGTGCACCCGAACCACTCCCAGACTGCGTAGAGTCTTCACCGTTCCTATCAGAGCTCCCGTGCGATATCCAAGCCTTGGATTCTTCCGGACCTTCTACATGTCCCCCTTGTCTATTCCAATGATCGTGAGCTCTGCCAGCTGCTTCAAGAGGGCCTCCTGAGTTTGTTACATTGCTTTGTGCATACGCTCCATGTTTCCGACACGTTCCTCCAGTTTGGCCATTTGAGTATTCCGAGCAATCGCCTACTCTGATACCATTTGTTATATGCCTTAGAATTCACTCTTAAAAGCTAACTGTTAGAGAGAGGGAACCCAAGCACATACATACCCCACAGCAGCATCCCATACTACGATGTAGGATACCTCACATTACCATCTCATACTACTAACATGGGACAAATGGATCGTAATAGAAAGACCCAATTGATAAATTCCACTAAATCGTAAATGACAATTAAACAACTATGACTCTCTCTCTCTCTCTCATAGCTCCAACTTACAAAACCAAAAGTATAAATAACCTTTAATGTAAAGCGTCAACTTCAATTCAGAGCTCTCTCAGTATGAGATGCTTGGTGAGAAATTCTGCCACTGCTGAATTTGTGATGGTTAGGGTTCGGATCAGGGTTATCTATTAACAAGAGAGAGGAGGAAGATAGAGAGAAGTATGAGTTTGTTAAGGGTTTTTGCCACCATCTCTTTAACCTTGGATTAGGGCAGAGAGAGAGAGATATGATCGAATATTCTATTGGAACTTATCAGAGAAGGAATGGAAGACTTAGAGAATTAAAATTGAAATATAAAAACCCTAATTCATTAATGGGCATCCACTAGGTAACCATGACCCAACCCACCCAACCCATTAATCGATACCTTATTTGGTTAACCGACCCACTATTGACCTAGTCAATAGTAAACAGGCATAACCTAACCCATTAATAAATGGATGGATTCAAAAGGTTGGGTTGAAAATTGCCGCCCCTACCTACATCTCTACTCAAAGGATATTATAGCTGCACATTGGGAACATTTTCCTTGTCATTCATAAGATGTTCCCAATATATGGCCCTGGTGTTCTGTAGGTAAGGATGTGAGAACAATTTGTAGGTAGCATATCTGGAGTTTATTTTGAGTAGAATTTGAATAAGTTTTCTCTTAGTAAAATATGATAATTTGAAAAGTCCAAGTCTGATTAGGAGTTTTATCGGGAAAGTTGGGACTATACCTATAAATGGACTAGTGTACAAGCTTGAATTCAGTAAATTGAATAAAGTTTTATTTGAAATGTCTTCCTAGTTTCTATTTGAGATTGTTTGGAAAAGAATAAAGTTTTATTTGAAATGTCTTCCTATTTTCTATTTGAGATTGTTTGGAAGAGGGCGATGATCATTTCTTTTCTCTCTCCTTATGCCATCTTCTTTCCAAAACTGTGATAATACAACATTCACCAGCCACCCGCAAAAATATATTCGTCTTGTCAAATGCCAATCACCCTAAAATATCAAAAACATGTTATTGGACTTTATTTTTGTTTTCAAAGGGAAAATGAGTTGGTTCAAAAAACAATAAATTTTTTTGGAATCAGCAAAATATTGGTTTTTAAAACAAAAACAAAATTTTTAGTATAAAAAATGATTTATGAAAGATGATGTTAAATAATCATATGAAAATATGTTTTTGAAATCAAATTCAATAACATGTTTTTTATTTCAGTTTTGAAAATAAAAAACAAACACACATAACGAAGAACATATTATTTTTTGTGTTTTTGTTTTAAGAAACAATGTATTTTCTAGGGGTGGCCACGAGCCGAGTTCTTCACGAGCTACTCAGCTTGGCTCGTGACCAAGGTTCAAAGTATTGACACGTACCGGCCCATATCGACCGATACGTATTGTTTTGGGACCCCTCCGATACTACAGTGGGTGTATCGGAGGTCTGACCGGTTCAAGGGGTAGAGGAGACCTAAACTGGCCCCCCTGAACCGGTTGTGAAAAAAAATAAAAAAAGGGCTTGAAAATGTGTATCAATTCGCCTGATACACCCCTATCGACATATCGGGCGTATCGATATTTTTGAACCTTTCTCGTGAGGCTTGCGAGCTGGCTCAAATAGCTACATACACACACACACAAACATACATACATACATACATATAATAATAATAATAATAATAATAATAATAATAATAATAATAATAATAATACATATATAATGATTTTATTTTTATATATAATAATAACTAATTATTATAATTCTTAATTGTTTAAATATCAAATAAAAGATATTTTTATATATAATTTTTTTTTATTTTTATAAAACATTTTTCTCAAATCGAGCTCTAGCCAAGCTGAACTTGATCTTATGAGCTTTTGACTCGAGCCAAGCTCGAGCCTTATACTACCTTGGCGAGCTGAACTCGAATGGCTAGCTATTCGACTCGGCTCGACTAGAACCTACCTTTAGTGTTTTCAAACAAAATGATTTTGATTTTTTTTAGAAGCGGCAGCAAGAAAAGCAATTCATGTTGTAGAACGCCTCCTAAGACAGCCTAAAGTATTGTATTTTTGTTGTCATTACTCATTAAACCTGTCTTCATGAAATCACAGAAAAGAAAAAAAAAAATCAGACATTTGAGTTTTGAGTATAATTAAGAAAAAACGATGGAAAGAAGTCCCAAAAACTGTTACTTTATTTCTTCTTTCGTTTTCCTTATTTTCTCTGTTTTTTGGTAAACCCATACCTTCAACATTTTAAAAAAGTGCAAACACAACAATATTCATTTTAAGCCAACGTACAATTGCACCAAAAAAATGCAATGAATACTTCCAATTGTGCAAATACAAACAGATCCTATGTGCACGAAGTGTGCATATTTTGCACTCTTCCCAAAAGAGAGACCTTATAATAATAGAAAAGATTAATTATTCACATTGTAACACTAACATCTAGAATAGTTGAACTTGAACCTACTTCGAGTCCCACGCCAAATAAAACCATTTAAAATAGCAAACTGTCAATCAGCAGTTAGTAAAAACTAGGGGTGCAACTTGGGCGGATTCAGGTTGGGCTTTTGTCAAAATTTAAATAAATCTGGTGCAAAAAGTCCAAATCCAAACAGTGTAAAATGCTTATTTGAACAAATCCGAATTAGACTTGCACGGTTGCACCCCTAAATGATATGATCCCCATTCCATTCCCAATTCTATATTGCATTTCTCTACAATATGCATTAAATGATATGTATGATTTCATTTATTTGCTTGCCTCTCATATTTAATACCATCGATCAGACCATGTTTTTTTGCGTGCAAATGCACCTGCCAGTGCCACTCATGACACTCACTCTTCTTACGTCTGTTGGTGAGTCTCAGTGTCTCAGAGAATTAGATCCTTCTGTCTTTCATCTTTTTTATTGTTAGTTACTTTTTTTTTTCTCTAAATATTTGCGGGAATACTGTTGGATTATGTTTGGTATACAAGATTTTATGAGAAATCGTGTTGGTCTTTTCCCACTCAGCTGGCACCCCATCATGACTTTTGCATTTTTCATTCTTACAAGTTACAAACTAAAAATGACTAATACTCTAGTTTTATTATACGTCACCTTCAAAGTTCAAACCCATCTTTTTGCAATTCGTATCTGATATAGTGATATCCCCTAATAATAATAATATGTAATTGCCTTAAAAGTAAAATAAAACGTCTCACATCGGTCGCTCAGATTTCTTCTTCCTACGACTTCCTTTTCGATCGATCGTCCGTCACATCTAAGATATTAGGCAGTCGATCCCAAATGAGCAAATAAACCAACTGCTAATTTGCTGAAAATAGGACAAATAAAACATCAATTTGATGAATATGTAAAAGGAATGCGATGAAACTGGAATATTGATAACGGTAAAGATAGCTAAAATCAAAATGAATGCGATGAAAGTAGCATTAGTACTGTCATACTGTGTTCGTTTAAAGCCATGGACGAACCAAATAAATAATAAGAAAAAATTAACTTGAGAGTTGAGAAAAGTATAGGGTATTTAACACCACAAAAAGGATATTACAAGAATAAATACCGCTCCAAGTAGTAAAGTAGATAGGAATTTCAGCTAACCAACAACCTACATAATAGTTAATTGAGACGTGGGCTTCTTATAGAGGGTAAAATGAAACAACAGAATTTTTAGAAACGAGCTCAGACGACCCACCATCACCACTGCCACTTGTATGTTATGACTTGTCACTGGCGGTGCAGGTGCTTTTCTTTCTTTACTTTTTCTCGTTTCGTTTTTCGGACTATAGCCGGATTATATGTTTATATTCCATCATTAGTCACCAATCAGCTTGATGCTTGACATAATAAAATATCTAAGTTCTGGGTGCATCCATTAATTGTGGCTCAGTTACAAAAATCTTGTATTTATACTGTATATGGTTGTATTTTGTATTCTTCCAAATATCCCAAACTGAAGGGAAGGTTGACCATGTCTGAAAAAGAATGCATTCCCCAGTCTTTATGACCGGAGCCCTCACAATTCAACTTGAATTATTAATGCTATTAAGAATGAGTAGAAGAATGGAAAGGATCAAAGGAAAGATAGAACAAGGAACCAACAGGAATAATCCCCCTTTACATTAGAAATATCAACCAGCATCTGTTTCCCAAAATTTCTAAACCATCATAACATTTGACAGCGATGGAAAATAGTACTCATAAGCAGAGAAGAGACTCCGGTGCCGGTGCACCTCTGCCCTCTGCCGGTAAAGAAAAACCAAAATTTCAACAAACAATTGAACAGATAAAGAAGAAAATATACACAGTGCCACGATTTGCTTACAAAATGCTGCTTTGTGGCTCAGAGTCAGATCGCCCCCCCGAAGAAACCAAACATCTATTGATTCCCTTTTCTTAATGGGCTGCCTGCTCCAACTCTATACGCTCTACACTTGGCTACCTAAACAAGGTTAACAGCAACTTAAAAACGCTTTAACCTCGCTCTAACCTCACTCGGGCATATTAACACAGAGTCTACACAGAGACCTCCTTTGGTGTGTGTGCAATCGATCTGGGTCATCGAGAACTTAACCTTCGTGGGCGCATTGGGATTCTCGACGACGAAATCTCCCACGTAGCAGTGACCCCAGTTCCCTGGTTCCCCCAAATAACATTGGGACAGAGCATGCTGACCATCTGAGGTCGATAGCTGGAAACGTACTGGCTTTATGTCCCAACCATGGACATGCTCAGGATTACATACTCGACGACCGAATCTCTTTGATGCTCTACCCAGCTGAAGCCTGAAGAATAGACTGTAGGTCCCCGCTGGAAACTGGAACTCTACCTGTCCGTCTACTTCAAACCACCAGATTTGCTGAAGATATGCAACTGACCGGAATCTACATCAAAAAGATAACAACAATAAATCAGTTTGTTCTTTATCTATAACTCTAACTAGGGAGACATGGAAAAAAGATAGAGGTGATTATGCCCAAAATTCTTTAAGAAGTAAACTCAGACAACAGAGAAAAGGAAAACATCTGAGTTAGGGAGAGAATGAAAATAGATCATAAATTCTTTACAATGTCACTCAAAAAGGCATGGTTTCTCACTAAACTACCAGCAGATACCAAGATCACAGATCAATATTAGGCTGAGAATCCAAATCTTATGGGATCAATCTCTAATAACAGGAAACCTGCACAAGCACAACCCCTTCAAATATTACCCACTTAATATCTGTTTGTTCCTTTGATTAGGGACATGCGCGAGTTTATAATAAAGTTTTACACACTCAATGGGAGAAAGTATACGCAGTATGAGTATACTTCTAGCCATAAGTCATAACTCCGTGAATGAGGTGTTCTACAAAAAAGACACATAAATACTGCAATACGCAAGCTATAACCAAGGATTTGTAAACAATTCAGGACAACTGAACTGGATCTAGAATTATAGATTTAAAAAAGTTGGGTGCAGAATAAAGCAATATCGACCTAATAAGCTAAAAAACTCCGAGCCATGCACTGAACAGGCTGAGAGCAATTTAAATCACATTAACCAATTCAGCAGACACCCTATGAATTCTGAACATTCAAAAATGTCCTAGGGACACATAGTAATGCACATACTGATCATCCAGCTTCTTTCAATCAAAACCTAAATCCTGATATAAAAAGGGCAAATTTGTCTATAGATGCTTCATCCATGTTCGTTCTATGTGTGAGATTTGTTAATTCCCTGTATCTTATGCAGCACCTTTCCGGCAGTGCAAGATTTGCTTGCAGAAAGAAGATCAAACAAATTTTAGATGTTGTAAGATTAGGATTTTTTCCCTTTTTTTTCGAGTGAGAAGGAGAAATTTTTCCAAGGAATCCAATTATGACATTGATATTCAGACTGCAGAGAGTAGTAATAGAAATTAGCCGACGAGTTTTCAAGAAAATCCCCAAACAGATTAATTTCGATGTTCATAGCACAATCTCTTCGAATTTTCAAGAAGAAAAAAAGGATTATTAACTCTTTTTTTATACGTACCTAGATTCCTCGGTTGGTATTCGTTTCCAATATCTCCGATCATCTATCCCTGTTATCGACAAGGCCTTGGAAGAAATCGACAGGCAAATTCTACCTGTGCTCATATCCAGCCACAGTTCCTGTCCAATATCAAAAGTTTCCAAAAGTATAAGCAAACCTGGAACAAAAGAAAAGGAAAATAAGAAGCCAATAAAACGAATTCAGAGAGCCATGGGAGAGAGATGCAGACCCTGGTGCCTCCATCGAAGGGGTTGGGCTGACATAATCTGGCATAGATCTCTTTCTTACTCAAGTTCACCGGAACTTGGCCACACACTTTCTCAATGAGGTAACGATAATTAGAAGGCAACTTGGAGTCCCAAACAAAATCAGCAGAAGCAGCACCACGAAAAGCCCGATTTAAGCGCGCCAACTTACAAATCTGGGGAGGATCCAAATACAAAAGAATGGAAGCAACGCAGCTTTCAGGTATATCGTCGAGACCAGTCTTCACATGAGAATCCCGGCCATCATTATCCGACAGAAAAACAGAGACACCAGCCCCCATGAGACGAAGAAACGAACTATCCGTAGCGAGAATGAATGGCTAACAAACCCTAGCCCTGAGCCCTAACTTGGTGTAGAAGAATTGCAGAGAAAGGAGAGGTTTGAGGAAGGGAAATAGGAGGGAGGGAGGAAGGAGAAGAGAGAATGGAGTGTGTCCATTTCATTTGCTTCTTGTATACGGACGCGTACCCCGGCGAGCCCCATTATCGAGATTTGTTGTTTTCCTACTACAAAACTAGGAGAGTGTTTAAGTGTACAGTCCAAGTTGGACGACAACGACTTGTTCTGCGTATGCCGTATGTGTTCGTGCGCCACTGCTTCGTGAATTTTGGTTTATAAAATTTTGTAAATTACAAAAAAAATCTCTATTTACAACCTGTAAAAGGCCTTTTTTTATAATTTTTTTTTACCACGAGACAGAACACAAAAGAGAAGAGCAAGAGAATATGACAAAAATTGGACGAGGACGCACAAAAATTGTATCGCTCTCTGGTCTGATGGTCTCTCACCACATCAAGTAATGTTGTCTGGACCGATAGATTAATACATTATTCGGTCACATGACTCACATCATCTATCTACTTACCAGATGCCAGATGGTTAAAATTAGAATCACCCGATCCCGTAGGGTCGAGTGGCAAATGGCTTGGGTCAGGACGAGCCGGGTCACACACTCATGCTAGGAACCAATTTTGAAAATGTTTTCCATTCTAGAATAGTCGCCGTGGAGATGACACGTGCCGCTTGGCAAGTTATTGGAGGATCGCCCGTGTTTTGACGTGGTTAAATTCATAGCCACGTGGCAAGTTAGATCACTCTTATTTGAAACTCGAACTCGTTATATAAATGATAAGCCGGCCACTTGAGAGATTTGACCCTAATCAAAGGTCGGTACATCCTCCAAAACTTGATATTTCAATTCTTGCAAAACCTCAATGGGCAAAAATAATTGGTTCCGACATCCGACAAAGCCCAAAGGTCATGAATTCGGGTTTGGAACGAACCGTTTTGGCCATCGGTTTCTAGATTAACAGCTCAATCGTCTGATTTGAATGAACGATCTATTCTGATAAAAAAAATAAAAATAATTAAAAATTAAAAATCATTTAACAGATTAACAGATTAGCAGTTTGATTGCCCAAAATAATATAACGTTAATTGATTCAACAGCTTTTTATTAAAATCTGGATTTGAAATAAAACGAAACCAGTCGCCTAAATAATTCCTGAACGAAAAATGTTTGTATTACGTGGTGATGATGATGCTAGGGTAAGTATGTGGGAACAACTTATAGATAGCACAGATCCGCATGCATGAACTCATGATAACTAAGATTTGATAACCAAACAACCGGTACTATTGAAGTGATAACTGATCATCAACTGGTATTCATCATCAAAATTCACAGGGATTCTGATTGGTCAACGTTCCTTCGGCATTTTTTCCCAAAAAAAAAGTTCAAGAAAAAATGTCCATTCGGCATCATATCCTTTCGTTGGTATTATAAAAATTGCCAAATTAGTTTGAAGATTACACATAGGTGGTTGAGAATTCGGCATCATATTTGGCGCTTATCTTCATGGCGCCATTTCCAATCGACCACATGAGCATCCTTTTGGCTACGCGGACCATGGGTGACTGGTTCGCCTCCATTCTCTCATTAGATTCAAAGATTGGGCAAGGTATTAAATTTTAGAAATTCTGGTCATTTTGGAACCCTGGGTCATGATGATTTTTTTTTTTTTCAGAATTTTGGACCATCTTTGTATAAATTTTTGCTAATGTGGTAAAAGGTAGGATTGTTCAATCAATGCAACTCTTAATATTAAATAATGAGATTAGGGAGACAATTTTCCCTGTTACTGTTGGGTGCTTAGCTTCCTCAACCCCATGATGTCGGGGATAGGGGATGAATTTTTCACCAAACCTTAACTTCGATTATATATATTATACATATATCTATATAACATTGCTTATATTATTTATAACAAAATATATTTAATTTTTTTCATTATTTCAAGTAAATTTATTTTATTTTAAAATAATTTTAATTTAAAATTTTGAGAATTAGGGTCTTTGATGACAAACAGGTCTGTGTTGAAGATTGGGAGAGAGTCATTTTAATCCCTAACGTAAATTGGAATTGGGAACACAGATTTATTTCAAAATCGAGATTAGAGATGGAAAATATGATCCGGTCAAACCCCGAACCCACCCCATTCCCATTCCTAAATGAGATGGGTACTAGCTGGTCCCATCAGTAGTTACACCATATTTACATTCAGGTGGATCTGAATTTTAATTATTTAAGTAGTACTTATTGTTATTATCATCAAAATCTAAAATTTTGACTATAATAAACCCACTCGATGTTTTTCTTTTCTATTTGTTTGTATATCCTTTTGGGTTGAAAGGTTGGAGATTGCAAACTGCATAGTCCCATAAATAAAATGGCTAGAGCGTATGCATTTTTTTTTTTATTATTTTTTTTAAAGAAAGGGTGTTGGCAGAGACCCGCTTCATTAATTTAAATGCACATATGTTATTGATTTATTGTTATCTGTCTCCATCTCAATCCCAAGTTTAACTTGCCACTTGGCAATATTCAAGTTTTGAAATTTGGATGATTGATAAATTTGCTTTATTTTACCTAATCGATTACCATTTTACAATACTGGTCGAACCCTTTATTAAACTTCTTTTTAAGCTTTTTACAAAAGGCTCATCAGCGTGTCAGCGGGGACAAAGGAAGGATAAAGTTGGGAGGGAACAGCGGCGCAGTGTTGGTCCTCCGTTGTTGGTCTTGCCTGCCTGCTTACATGCATTCACTAGTTTTCAAACTGTCAAAAGTCGAGTCTCTTTCCATTCCATCGCCTCCTACTAACCATAAAATCCGGTGGGCAGGCGATCTTTGAATCAAACGACAAGCAATTTGTAAGACTGGAAGTTGTAATTAGAAGCTTTATCTAATTAAATCCATTTCCGCACTGACCCCCCCGACCAGCTGACCTGATACAAACAACACAGCCCCATGGTTTGTCCTTCACGAACTAAATAAATAATTCAATTGGTTATTGACCGGTAAATAAGCTTTTTAGGGGCGTTCTTTTTGTGGATCTTGAGAATAAGAAAAGTTGGTGAAAGAAATTTTGATTTTTATTGACCAAGAAATCTATGTTATTTTTCATTTAGATTTATGTAAAGATAAGTGAAAGTTTATTTTCCTCATGTAGAGGTGTCAATTAGACTGGATTTGATCCAACCGGATCCAGTCTAATGTGAGTCTACTTAGAAAGTCTAAATCCAATACAAACCAAATTCAATCCAATCCATTAAAATATAAATGGATTGGATTGGATCCAATCCAAACCAAATGAAAACATCAAAAATTATATAAAAGCACTTTTGGCATTAAAAAAGCACTTTTGTAAAAGTGCTTTAGTAAAAGTATTTTTATAAAGTGTTTTTATAAAAGTGTTTTTATAAAAGTGCTTTCATAAAAATACTTTTATAAAGTTCGAATAAGAATAATTTTATAAGTGGTACTTTAAAATTCAATTAGGAATAATTTTGGAAGAAAAAAATTGAATAAGTACTTATTGTATAAACACTTAATAAAAGCTAAAAATTTGGACATAAAAAATAAGTGCTAAACACTTATTTTAGGCTTATTTCCAAAATACTAATAAATACTTGATAATCCAAATAAAGATTTATTTTAAATAAATACTTATTTTTAAGCACTCTCAAACATGACCTAAATTTTTCTTAAAAAACAATTTAGGAGAAGAGAGCGTTGTTTTCTCTACCCAGTCAAACTTCACAGAATGTAATTAATTAATTATGTTTAACAATTAGTCATCGGCTTCCTAATTTTTAATACATTGCTATAATACCAATGTATTAAGATAATATGAAAATCAGCCTGTATATCGTTGTTGTTGTCAGTATTATATATATTAAAAGGATATGGGTGTTTTCTGCACTCGGGAAATGAAATTTACTTGTGCGAGTAGATCCCACGTGCGAGCACCCAATTCTAATAATTAATTAATAACAATAATTATTAACTAATAATAATAATAATAACAATAATTATTAATTAATTACAGTAATTAGTAATGGCATGCACCCATTTCCATTCCAGTAATTAGTTACTAATTAATTACAGTAATTAATAGTGTAATTATATAATTACTGTAATAATAATTACTGATTATCACAGTAATTTAATAAATATATAATTAGTGATTACAATTAATAATTACTGTTATTACAAATATTGTTAATAATTAGATATTTACTTTAATTTTACTTTAAATTAAAATTATAAATATGGTTATTAAAAAATACTGTTAATAAATATAGTAACCCAATTTTAATAATTACTGATTATTACAGTAATTTAATAAATATATAATTAGTGATTATAATTAATAATTACTGTTATTATAAATATTTTTAATAAATAGATATTTAGTTAAATTTTACTTTAAATTAAAATTATAAATACTGTTAATAAATATAGTAACTATTGTTATATTCAAAATAATTAAAAATGTTATTAAAAGTATTGTTGTTGATTATTTAATAAAATATTATAATTACTGACTATTACCAATAATTAATAGTGTAATTATATTACTAATTAATTACTGTAATAATATAATTACTGATTATCACAGTAATTTAATAAATATATAGTTAGTGATTATAATTAATAATTACTGTTATTATAAATATTGTTAATAACTAGATATTTACTTTAATTTTACTTTGAATTAAAATTATAAATATTGTTATAAAAAAACTTTTAATAAATTTAGTAACCCAATTTTAATAATTACTGATTATTACAGTAATTTAATAAATATATAATTAGTGATTATAATTAACAATTACTGTTATTATAAATATTGTTAATAAATAGATATTTACTTAAATTTTACTTTAAATTAAAATTATAAATACTGTTAATAAATATAGTAATTATTGTTATATTCAAAATAATTAAAAATGTTATTAAAAGTATTGTTATTGATTATTTAATAAAATATAATAATTATTGACTATTACTAATAAATACCGTTAATTTAATTTAATTTTGGTAATTATTAATTTAATGAATATTGTTAATAAATCCTATTCATAAATTTAATAATTATTGTTATATTAAAAATAACTAAATAATATTATCAAAACTATCATTAACGATTATTTAATTAAATAGTATA